CTGCTGGAAACTGCCCAAGCCTCCGAGAAGCCGCCGAACAATGGCCTCCGAGAAACCGCCGGAAACGCTCTCGGGGCACTGGGCCTGGCCTCTGGCAGCCGCTGGCCTCCGGGCATCCGCAGGCTGTGAGCTGTTGTCCGACTGGAGCTTCCGCCCCGCCCCGCCCCGCCCTCCGAGCCTTGGCCATGTCGGGCAGGTGCGGGCCGTATGCGGGCGGCCCAAGTTTCTTTGTGAGGACGGCCGGCCGCGCGAGCGCGCACGCAGCCTGAGCAGCAAATTTGCACTCCGAGGGAGTGCCTTGAATGGCGTCTTCTTCCTCCTCCTCCTCCTCCCCCTCCTCCTCCTCCTCCTTCTCCTCCATCCCTGTTCCTTACATGCACCTCCTCCTCGTCTGGCCGTTTCGGTAGGGCGGGCCGGGCGTTTCCCCTGGTACTTCTTCCCGCTGATGGCTCCTAAGCGTGAAACTGTCAACCGTTACACGGATGTATGGGGTGTCGTTTTCAAATTGAGGTTATCGCCCTGGCGCCGCGGAAATTCGTCTTCAATGTTGGCAATGGGCACGCGGATGGAGAGGGGGGTCATTTTCGCAATGCGTACCTCGCCTCAGCGCCGAGCACACTCGTTTTGAACGCTTCCAGCAATTACACGGGTGGAAAGGGTGTGGTTGTCAAGCCGTGGCCCTCGCCTTCAGCCCTGCGCAAACTTGTTGTATCAGCTTCGAACAGTTACGCGGATTGAGCCGTGGCCGTTTCTCATAAGACGCTTCTCGTCTGGGCGCCGCGCGCACTCGTCTTAACAGCTTCCAAATGTTACACGGACGCAGGGGGCGTCCAAACTTTGGCTCTCGCGTTAGCGCAGAGTATATTCGCCGTAACACATTCCAACGGTCAAACGGGTGGAGGAGGCAGGGGTCCGAACTGGCGTTCTTTCCCAAGCATCGCGCGCCGATGTTAAAACATTGTCCAGCAGTCACACGGGTGGATCGCGGTTCCTTTTCCAAAACGTGGCTCTCGCCGTAGCTCCGAGCACATGCTTCTCAGCACTTGATTCACAAATGCACGGATGGAAGGCGGTTCCTTTCCAAAGCGTGGCTCTCGTCCTGGCGCCGAGCACATTCATTCTAAACGTGTCCGGCACCTGAAAACAATTACACGTGCGGGCGGCGGTTACTTTTCAAAATGTCGTTTTCGCGTTCGCGCCGCGCAAATTCGACTTAACAACTTCGAGCGGCTACACGGATGTAGGGCGATTCCTTTCAATACGGAAATTAACTTCGTTTGACGCTTCCGTCGTCCTGATTGCTACTATTTCGAAACATAAGCAATACCTTCACAGATGGAGGGCGGCTCTTTTTCAAATCGGGGCTCTCGCTTGGGACTTCGCTAACTTTTGTGACCAGACGCTCTTTGAGAATCCGCCAGCTCCCGCTTGCCAGGGGTGACGTGTGAGATGATTGGCTGTCACCCCTACCCCTTTCTTTCTCTCCTGGGATCCAGCATTTTGTTAGAGGGAGGGGGGGGCACGAATTCCCCCGACGTAACTCTGGGCCCCTCGGAACCTCCGAATCAACCCCGCGTGGTGTCGCGCCGAAGCATGGTGGGCCAGCACCAATGGCGCGACACGCTGTCCCAGAGTTTCCGACCGCGCCTCCGTGGACTCGATGGCCCTGCCTCCTCGTCGCCCCCATTGCCAAAAGCATTGGCTGCAAATCCTGTTCAAAACGGGGCTCCCGCCCGCATTACCGGACCACGGGGCGCTGAGTCTAGCAAAGGAGGCACGTCCCACTTCGAAGGACAGTTCTGGCAGGGGCTAACGAGGTGGGGATTTGGGACCGTTGGGCGTCCTGCAGCCTTGGTTCAAGCCGGACCGGACTAGGCGGGAGCAGGCCAGTTTCCGACCACGGAAGACCAAGTGTCGATGCTCACTTGACCCTCCCAGGAGTTACATCCCAGGAGAGGGGAGGGGGTCCGAGGCACAATCCAAAGCAAGGCAAGCACGCGGACATTTCCAGAGCGCACGAGGATTTCTTGAATCGGCACTGCCCCGCCCCCCCCCCTCGCCTGGCGCGCGGAGCGCGCCAGGGGCCGCGGCGGAGGCGCCGCCGGGGGGGTCAAGCGCCGACCCAATACGCTTTTACTTTTCGGCTGCTGCTGCTCCTCCTCCTCCACAGGCCTCCGATGCCTCGTCTCTTTCGAGCCGCCGCCCCCCCGAGACCCCATCGACCCCATCCCTCGACCTGCTGCTTGCCCCAAGCCGTGCTGTTGACGGGCCCAGGGGGGGATCCCGGGTCACAAAAATTGTTTCTATTCGGTCAAACAAATAGTTTCATACGGGTCAAACGGTTTTTCATTTCGGGACAAAAAATCATTCCGACCCAGGTACGCTATCTGTGTGAGTGGCGTGCAAAATTGGCGCCGAGCGGCGGCCAAACCAAGGGTCGGGCAGGCCAACCGTGTGAGGCCGCGGGTATGCAGCCTCCAGCACCACCGCGGAAGTCGGGTGACGACGACGACGCCCGCGACGACGACGACGACGACGGCGACGAGAACGCAGGCCAGCCACGCGCTGAGCCCCCCGACGCCCTGGCGTACCTCCTGACAGAAGAAGAACAACATACACTATGCAAAAATATACCTATACAAATAAGCAATCAGTGTCTCCGAGTGTATGCTACTTTTACTGGGCAGCTTGCAGAATTGCGCAGGGCACTTGGCCAACTCACCGGGCGATACGCGAGGTCTGTATACATACATAAACATATACATACATATACATATACATATACATGTACTTATACATATATGCCCAACGATGTGTGCAATTGAATATACATATGTATGTATGTATGTATGTATGTAGGTAGGTAGGTCGGTAGGTAGGTAGGTAGGTAGGTATGTCTGTCTGTATGTATGTATGTTTGTGTTTTATGTATGTATGTATGTATGCATGCATGCATGCATGCATGTATGTATGTATGTATGTATGTATGTGTGCATGTTTGTATGTATGTATGTATGCATGCATGCATGCATGTATGTATGTATGAATGTATGTATGCATGTATGTATGTATGTATGTATGTAGGTAGGTAGGTAGGTAGGTAGGTAGGTATGTATGTGTGTGTATGCATGCATGCATGCATGAATGCATGCATGCATGCATGCATGCATGCATGTATGTATGTATGTATGTATGTATGTATGTATGTATGTATGTATGTATGTGTGTATGTATGTATGGCTGTATGCATGTATGCATGTATGTATGCATGCATGCATGCATGTATGTATATATGTATGTATGTATGTATGTATGTATGTATGTATGTATATACAGATATGTATGCATATACAGATATGTATATCTAAGCCGAACGAAGCGCGCCAGGGGCGGCGCCGGAAACGCCGCCAGGGGCGGTCCGGCGCCGACCCAACAAGTCCGCGCGGACATCCGACAGCTTTCTTTGTGGCGTTCCTTGGGAAGAGGAGGAAGAAGAGGAGGAGGAGAAAAAAAAGGAGGAGGAGCAGGAGAAGCAAGTGGAGGGGGAGGAGGAGGAGGCGGAGGAGGAGGAGGAAGATGAGGAGGAGGAGAAGGAGGAAGATGATGCGGAGAAGGAGGGGGAGGATAAATAATAATAATAATAAACTGATGCGGAGGAGATGGAGGAGGAGGAGGAGGAGGAGGAGGAGGACCAGTGTATACCCAACAGTCATCAACGATGTTGGAATTGCCCCGCCTTCCAAGCTCCCTCTTCAGAGCCCTGCAATGGTTCACTTCCATTGAGGGAACTGCCTCGTTGGAAGACAACCGTTTGAAGACCTTGAAACATGCCAAAACATTGTTTTCGGGATTTCTACGCCGCGGATCAACCTGACTGCTGCGTCCTGACGACCTGGAACCGTGCCACATAATAATTTTTGGGACTTGCGCACCACGAATCAACACAACTCTTGCACCCGCATAGTCGTGAATCCTTCCACAACGCAAGTTCTGGTACATTGATCACGGGAATCCGTGAAGCTATTGCAATGTTTGAAAACGAACCACATTTTGAAAAAAAGCACCCGCCCTCGATCCGTGAAGACCTTAACACTGTCTACAGCGAATGTGCGCGGAGCCACATTTTGAAAACCACCCGCCCTCAACCCGTGAAACTCCTGCCCATGTTTAAGGCGACTGTGCGCGGCGCTAATGCGGGAACTACATTTTTAAGACCATGGCACCCTTATCCACTGACGAGCAGCTATGTCAGGCCACATCTCCGCCCCCCCCTATCATCCACTTATAACTTCTACCCCCCTTGCCCCCCCCCCGCAGCAACTCCCGCGGTGACCCCAGCAGCCGAAGGCCGTGGCGGAGCTCGGCGAGCCGAGCGACGAGGCCGCAATCGCGGCTGCGGCCCTGCGGCCGTCTTGGGCATCTCTGGAGCAGTCAGGGGACCGTCTGGGGGTCGTCTTGGGCCGTCCTAGGCTGCTCTTGAGGCTGTCTTGGGTACCCCGTGGGCCGCCAGGGGCGCCTCAGGAGCCGTCCAGGGGCCATCTTGGGACCCTGTATGGCCGTCTTGGACGCTATGAACAGGGCAAGCCCGGGAACTGCCAACATGTACGTTCTCCCTCGAGAATGGGAAGATTTCTCGGTGTTCGGGCTCTCTTGGGGCTCGTCGTGGAGCCCACTTGGAGCGCTTGGGGAGCCTCTGGAGGCCGTCTGGGGGCCCTGCCTCCTGGGGCGTCTCGGAACGCTCTTGGGCCATCTTGGAAGCGCGCCGAGGCCTGCTGGGGCTCGCAAGGGCGCCAGAGGGGGCCGGTCCACTGCCACCGATCGGCCCATCCGCGAGCGCTGGGGCAGCCATTGTAGGCGAGATGACGTCGTGCTCCAGCTTCGCCTCCCCCATCTCGCTCAGCAGCGCCAGCGCCCGCTGCGACTGCTCGCCCCTTCGCACGCGCTGATCCCAGCGCTGTAGGCGGTTGCGTCGGGCTCGAGCTTCTCCTCCCACATCTCGCTCAGCAGCGCCAGCGCCCGCTGCCACTGCTCGCCCTTCTCGCACGCGCTCATCCCAGCGATGTAGCTGACTAGGGCAGACCTGTGGACTCCGTCCACGACATCAGCTCGACGTGGCGAGTTGAAGGCGCTCTCCACACCCTCCAAGACCTTCTGCTCTCCTGTGTTCCTCAGCTTCTGCTGCTGCTCGGAGGTCCTGCTGCTTCCTCCCCCTCCTCCTCCTCCTCCGCCTCCTCCTCCTCCTCCTCCTCCTCCTTCTCCTCCTCCTCCTCCTCATCCACCTTCTTCTCCTCTTTCGCTGGATTCTCCAAGCCCTCGGTCGGCAATCGTCGATCCTACGACGACTCTCCCCAAGAGAGAAACATCGAAGGCCCTCGCAGCGTCCAACATTGTTCTTTTGTGCCTTGGATATGCCGGTCGCCTCTCGTCCGCTCCCCCCCTCCTGGAAGCAATTCTGAGGCCACGTAGTGCTTCGTGGGGGCCGTTTGGGGATCTCTTTGGGCGTTTTTGCCTGCGATATGCCTGTCGCCTCTCGTCCGCTCCCCCGCTCCTGGAGGGAATTCTGAAGCCACTGAAGGCTTCGTGGGGGCCGTTTCGGAGCCTCTTCGGCCTTCTTTTGGGCCTCCCGGGGGGGTCTTAGGGCCCTCTCGGGCCGTCTTGGGTGCCTCTTGGGCCGTCTTGGGGCCGTCTGAGGCCCGCCTCGGCGCCTCTTGGGCTGTCTTGGGCCGTCTTGGGCCGCTCCTGGGGCCGTCTTGGGTGCCTCTTGGGCCGTCTGGGGCGCCTCCTGGGCCGTCCTGGGGCCGTCCTGGGGCGTCTTGGGACCGTCTTGGGGCCCTCCTGGCCCGTCTTGGGGCTCTCTTGGGGTCCTCTTCGGCCGTCTTGGAGCGGTCGGGGGGACTTCTTGGGCCGTCTTGGAGCGTCGGGAAGCCGAAGAGGCGAGGAGGCCGAAAACATCGAAAAACACAATAGAAATCAACGATTTCTGTCACTCGGGGCCCTCTTCGGAGGCCTCTTGGGAGGCCTCTTCGGGCGTCTTGGACGCCTCTTGGGCCGTCTGGGGCGACTCTCGGGCGTCTTGGGCCCGTCTTTAAGCGTGCCGGGGCTCTCCGGGGCCGTCTTGGGGGCTTCTGGGGGCCCTCTCGACATGTCCTGGAGCCTGCCTGGGCGGCCCGGGGCGGCCCGGGGCCAGCCCGGGGCGGTTTCGGTGCATTGGGGCCTGCGCCATTCTGGCACGCACTGGGCCCTGCAATGTAGTAGAGACTAGGGCTGACCCGTGGACTCCGTCCACGACATCTGGCCGAGAGCATCCTCAGGGGAGCGGCGGGAATGCTGCCAAAAGCTACCCACATGGCGGCCAGCTTCTCGGCTTCGAGGGGGCCTCTGGATGCTCTCTTGGGCTCTCGTCGGTGACGACTGGGCCGTCTGGGAACCGTCTTGGGCCGTCCTGGGCGCCTCTTAGGCGGTGTGGGGGCCGTCTTGGACCGTGTTGGGCGGCTCTTGGGGCTGTCTTGGGTGCCTTTTGGCCGTCTTGAGGCCGTCGTCTGCCGTCTTGGGCGCCTATTGGGCCGTCATCTGGCCAACTTGGGCCGTCTGGGGCCGTTTTTGGGGCTGTCTTCGTTTTGGGGCCCTGATGGGGGCATCCTGGGCCGATCGTGGGGGGCTCTGTCGTGGACGCGTCGGAGACGAAAATCACGAGAATGCAAAAAAAAAATCCTCGACGGGACTGGGACGATTTTGCGCGTCTCGGGGCTGTCCTGTGGAATCCTCGAGGGCCGTCTTCGGGGCTCCTGGCCTGCCCCGGGGACCCTCGGTCGGAGCGGCTGAACGGCTCGGAGCGCCCCTGGGGCCGTCGGGGTGGCCTCTGGAGCGGCTCGGAGCCGTCTTGGGGTCGTCGGGGCGCCCTCTTGAGCAGTTCGGACCCGTCATTGGGCCGTCGGGGCGGCCTCTGGGGCGGCTCGGAGCCGTTGTGGGGCCGTCGAGGCGCCCAGCTCCAAACGCGACCCAGAGGCACCGAGGACGCCGCCGGGCGCGGGCCCACCACTCTGCCGCGGCAGTTTTGAAGCCGCGTGGGACCTCTTGGGGACCTCTTTTGGGCTCCTGGGGGCCTCTTGGGCCTCTTTGGGCCCGTCTATCGCGCCCCTTGGGCTGTCTTGGGGCCCCCTTAGGGCCTTCTTGGGCGGTCCTCGGGCCGTCTTGGAGCCGTCTTGGGCCGCTCTTCGGGCCATCTTGATGTCCCGTTGGCCTGTCTTGGGCGCCTCTGGGGCCGTCCTGGGGCCGCCTTGGACCGTCTTGGGGCCCTCTTGGATCGTCTTGGGGTCCTCTTGGGGACCTCTTCGACCGTCTTGGAGCGGTCTTGGATGCCTCTAGGGGGGTTTCGGAGCGTCGGGAAGCCGAAAAAGCGAGGAAGCAAAAAACCTCTGAAAAAACAAATGGAAATCAACGATTTTGGCCTCTCGGGGCTCTCTTGGGAGGCCTCTTGGGAGGCCTATTGGGCCGTCTTGGGGAGCTCTTGGGCCGTCTTGGGCCAATCTTGGGCGTCTTGGCCGGATCATTGCGCGTCTCGGGGCCCTCTTGGGCCGCCTTCGGGGCATCTTGAGCGGCTCGGAGCCGTCTTTGGGCCGTCGGGGCGGCCTCCGGAGCGTCTCGAAGCCGTCCTGGGGCCGCCGGGGCGCCGAGAGCCCCCAGGCTCTCCCCGACCCTTCCCGCACGCACGTGCTCCTGCAATGTAGTAGAGACTAGGGCTGATCCGTGGACTTACGTCCACGACAGCTTATGTTGAAAATGATCAGGGGCTGCCTGACCTCGTAAAGCCACAGATTAACTCGAAAAGCTCGCCCAGCGATGTACATCAACCGGGTCACGCATGATTCCACTGGCACCGCAGTCGGCCAGGTGATCAGCACGCTCGTTCAAATATTGCCCAGCATGGCTTTCGACCTTCCTCAAGACAATACGGCAAGCGAACTGGTCATAGATGTGGCGAAGCCGCAGAACAAGCTGAAGTGGTATAGTCAGGAGCTGCCTGACCTCTGAGCCCTAGGAGGCGCATCGGACCCCCTAGGGAAATGGTAAATTGCTCAGGGCGGACGCTATTGTCGCCCTCACAGCGCACTGATTACCTGGAGCGCGAAACTACACAGGGCAGGCCAGGTGGGACATATTGTCCCCTACCGGCACAATGATGCTACATAGGAAGTGTAGTTCACAAGAGTAAACTTGTGCAACCATTTGCTCCTTTTGTGAAATGTGCACAAGGCCTGTTGGAGCCGCCGCGGCCTATGCTTCACAAGAGCGCACCTTGTGAAATGTTGCCTAGCCACGCCGCAGAGAGAAAGGAGACAAAGATGGTCCCCGCCTCAAGACAAAATGTCAACGAGGACTATACAAAGGGTCAGCTGTAAAGACGAAAAAGGTGATCCCTAACTGCATAAGGAAGTTCGAAAGGCACGCAAGTCAGTAGACGAGCGTGTTGACGTCGATTGGCGCATTACGGATTCGTTGCCGATGACGCCGCCGGAGAACATAACACTACAGAGCAGACCTGAGCAGCGCAAGCCTGGGACACGATCCACAGACCAGGGTTTCTCAGTGGGTCCTTCACCCCCGCACTGAGATGGTCTACGCCCTCAGTGGGTCTCTCACCCCCGCACTGAGACGTCCGCCAGGCCTCGAAACCTGGAGCGCCGAAACGCCGAGTCCATCCAGACAGACGTGAACCTTGGCCCTGGTGCCAACGAGTGCGCTGCAACATCCACACAATAGCGTCAAGCTCACCAGAAGCAAACACCAGCGGTCCCAGCGCGGTGGCTGGGTCGACACCGACCGTGAATCAGCATCTCCCTCATGTCCCCCAGTCAAAGACGCGACCGTAATGCCTGCGTGACCTCTCACATCCGCAGACATAGCCGATCGCCCCGGCCGCATGAGGTACACTGCGTAGGGGGGTAAGGCGCTCTCACCGCCCGCCCCCCCGTCCACGACAGCTTGCCTGCGTGCAGAAGCTGAGATCGCTTGCCTGCGTGCCTGCTGTTTTGCGCGCATCGCTGGTAGCCAGACAGTTGTCTTACCGACGTCACTGCCAGCATGCTGGCAGGCCTGGCGGTCGCAGCTGACCCTCTGCCGCACGCCACGGCAGCGGGGATGGCCGCCAGCGGGCCGCGGGCAATGCAGCGGCTGTTTGTTTTCTGCTTCTAGCTACTAACTGCTGCCGCTGCTGGCTTGTGTGCTGCCGGATACGGAGGCCGTGCTGGGGGGCCCTATGGCCAAAACAATTGGGGGCCTCGTTGGGCCCTCTTGGGGCCGTCCTGGGCCGTTTCGGGGTTCTCCGGGGGTCTGTTGGGCCGTCGTGGCGCTCTCTGGAGGGCGTGTCGGGCAGTCTGGAAGCTCTCCGAAGCCTTCTGTAACATTCTGGGAGCCCTCTGGGGCCGCCCTTCGGCTCTCTTGAGGCAGTCAAATATCGCCCAGAAGGCCCTAAGACGGCCCGAAGACGGACCGAGACAGCCCAAGGCGGCCCCGATAACAACCCAGGAGGCTCGATGGGGGCCCCCAGAGGGCCCAAGGTGGCCCGCAAGGAGCCCAAGAGTCTCCCCCGAAGCCGTCTTGGAGCTGTCTCGCGTCGGAAAGCCTGCGAAGCAAAAGACATACATCTTCCTTTGGGTGTTGGAAAGCTTTGCAGTTGCCGTGGTCTTCTGGACAATTCCTGCAAGGCCGCTTGGGGCGTCCAGGGGCCTTTTGGAAGCCTGTTGGAACCGCTCGAGATCTCTCGGGTGCCCTGTCTGGCGGCTGTCGGGGCCAATTGGGGTCATCGCGGACATTACCGGGGACTGTCTCTGCGACGTCTTGGGGACCCAGAGCCCACAGGAACCCGGAGGCAGTGCCGACGCCACTGGAGGCCGAGAAAGCGACTGGCCCACGCACTTGTCCCAGAATTGAGGGGATGATGATAACTTCGGGCTCTAATTTCAAAGTTTTTGATGTTGCGGCTCGCTCTCGGGAGCCTCGGGTTGAAGAGCTTACCGTGTCACCGT